GCTTCTGTGGGAGATTCTCGGGCACGCTTGCCCTCTACACGCCCAGGGCTGATGCAATCGGCTTTCTCCAGCTCTGCGACGTTGCTGACAATCTTGTCTCCCCTCGCCAAGTCCCGGTCCACCCTGTCCTTTGCTGGCACCTCCTCTCCCCCCAGTCTCGGCCTTGCGGGGCCCAGCAGTGAGATCACTCACTGAGGCAGAGTTGAGAGAATTCTCAGAAATGGCTAACAGAGGGCCAGAGGCCCTACCAAGCCCCCTGGGCTGGTCCGGCCGTACTTGTGGATGGGCTGCAAGCTCAGGGTCCCCTGCATGGTTTTATACCAGGGCTCAGCAGTCTACATTCCATTACTTGCTCCCTGGGGGTATTCTGTACCACAGTTAATGCCTCTTATTTGATTGACCAGCAGAATGTCCGTTTTCCTACTGTTCCTAAAGATCTCCGGGACCTTGCCCTCTGTCTTTTCATTATTCTGAGGGATTCATAACCCAGGACGTTCAGACTGGGTCTCAGGTGGGCTTGTTTCCCAACCAACCCGAAATCCATTAATAGCTACCCTGGCCAAGTTCAAGGAGCCTTGGGGACAGAGTGCTTATGCCTTGGGCTGCTAACCTCAAGGTCAGCAGTTTGAAACCACCAGAGGCAAAGAGGAACAAAGACAGGGCTTTCTACTCTCATACAGAGTTACAGTCTGGGAAATCCACAGAGGCAATTCTATCCTGTCCTCAAGGTGACTCGATGGCAATGAATTTTGTTTTGTTTTGGCAAGGTTCACTGTACTCCACACACGCATGCACAGACATACACACACAGAGGCAGCAGCCACCTGCCCACACCGCCCGCCCGGGGCCCCGGGCTCTTACCTGTAGTAGTTCTTGTTGACCGGCTGCTGGCTGGGGAAGCCTAGCATCCCGCACACCACCCTGCTGTTGTTCATGCTCCAGCCCTGGTCACACACCTGCCGCCAGTCTCCCTCATACTTCACTTCCACAGCCCCCTCCATCACTGGGTTTCTCCGCTTGGCGCTGGCCAGGATGGGCTTGAGCCTCACTTCCTCCAGCCGACGGCCCTGCAGGGGCCACAACCACTGTGGGCCTCCGGGCTCCAGATGAACCCCCAGCTCAGGCCGCAGGTGCCACCTCATCATCGCCCTCATCCAAGGCCTGGGGCCCGGAGGTCCTTGGCCAAGGCACGGAGTGAGCACAAAGCAAAACCAAGGTTCACTAGGGCGTGCCCCCTCCATTCCACAGAGGGATCCTGGGTCACAGTGAGTAAAGCAGTTGGCTGCTAACCAGAAGGTCAACAGTTCAAACCTACTAGCTGCCTTACTGGAGAAAGACGTGGCCGTCCGCTTCCATAAAGATGGACGACCTCGGGGACCCTAGGCTCAACTTGACACCAAGGCGGTTGGCTGTTTTTGTTTTTCTTCGTTCTCTTCGACTCCATTAAACTTACTAAACTTGAGAACAAGGTGGATCTTGGGGCCAGCATGGGGGTCCTTAGCCATTTGGTGGGGGGCGGGCTTTATCATGGCACTCTGGGGAAAGCTGAGGACAGGTCAGGGAAGCTGCTTGCAATGGCCAGCAGGACACTTCGACCCACAGGACCCTAGCCCTGGGCTGCCCCAGACCAATATGTGCCCCCCACCCCCCATCGTGGCCTGTCATGACTAGTGGTTCAGGGCCAGCTGTCCTTGGGCTGGAGGCTGCCCGGCAGTGGCCTGTAGGAGCCAGAGACTGGCCCTGCCTGCGCCTGTTGTTTGGCTTGAGCTGTTTTTAGCTGTTTGGGACTGTCTGCTCTGGGAAGAGGCATCAATGGTGGCTGGACCTTGTGGCTGAGGCAGCCCCCTCCTCCCGGCCTCCCCCCTTGCTCCTACCGGCTCCCTCCCCTGAGGAGAGCAGCTTCTGAGCTTCTCTGCAGGCCCAGCCTCGAGTCTGCAGCCTGCCCCAGCTCAGGCCGTGCCCTCTACCTAGGCACTGGCTCCCACCTGAATCAGGGCCCCAGGCCTCTGGCAGGGCGCTTCTCCCCCAGGCTCTGGTCTTTCTCCCTCCCTCCTGGTCCAGCCCCTCAGCTTCCAGACCCTGAAGAGGCTCCTCACCAGGGGCCCAAGGGCATTGGAGATCCTCTCAGAAACATAGCCACGCTGGCGTTGGGGGTGGCACACAACTCCGACATCCTCCGAGTGGCTGCAGTCACTGACGCCCCAGCCGTTAGACCCGCACTGGTCCAGGGAGCTCTCTGTGCCCGCACAATGCACATTGTCCAGCCAGATGGGGCCTGGGGACCAAGGACAGGCACTTGCTCAGGCTCCAGCCTCGAGAGGCAGGTCCCCAGCCCTTGCCTGCCGCCCACACTTGTCACCTTCCCTTTTTTCCAAATCCAGAGCAGAAATTATGGGTGTGTGTGTTGGGTGGGGGGTGGGGGCGTTCTCCTGGGATCTTGGAATCCACAGCCCTGCCTACTGCCTGCTCTTGGCATCAGGCCCTGGAGAAACTGCTTTGGGAAAATGCTAGCCTAGGGAGTTATACCTAGGAACAAGACCTACCTGTTGGCCATTCATTCATTCAGCAACCTGCGCTCAGCACACACTAGATGCCAACTACCGTGTTCATGGAACTCTGTCTAGTGGGGGTGGGGGGGATGGGGGGCCTCGTTACAAGAGAGAATGAATGGGAGATGCAGAGCAAGGATCATTTGTAGCTGGGCATGTAGGAAGTGCTTCATGGGCAAGACCAGGTAAGCTGGGTATTAAAGGGTGGGTCAGAGTCTGATGGGCTCGGCTGGAGCCCAGTCCCTGAGAAGAGCCTGCCACCACATCCTTATCATCCCTTTTGGGTGGCATCGGTTACTCACCTTCCCCTTGGCCATACTTGGCACTGTGAGCCCAGGTCAGGGCTGTCTCAAAGCCCAGCTGGCGGCAGGCCACTGTGGCCTCTTGGAGGGCAAAGTCGTCATCACACACGGTGCCCCACTGGCCCTGGTGTAGCACCTCCAGGCGGCCCTCTTCTGGCCTGCTTCCTGGGCCTACCAGCCGGAGCTTCTTGGTCGCCAGGGACTGTGGTCTGCTGGGAGGGGCCTGGCTCAGCAGCAGCAGGATCAGGGAGAGGGTGGCTGGTGGAAACCACATCATGGTGATTCTAGGGACAGCGGGGGCCAAGGCACCTGGGGAATAAGTAAACATGACACGGGTGACTCATTGCAGAAGCTGAACGTGACAAAGGGTGGCAGGACTCCTCCAACTGCATCATATGTAATGGCCTTGACTGAGCCGGTGGGCTCTTGCCTTGGCAGAATTGGTCTCAAGGCAGCACTTATTGGCTATATGACCTTGAAGAAGAAACGTAGCCTTCCCGAGCCTCAATTTCCACCTCTGGGAAATGGGGATAATAATCCCTAGCACTGTTATGCATATTAAATAAGACAACTCTATAAAGTACTTAAAGGAGCCCTGGTGGCATAGCAGTTATGTGTTGGGCTGTGATCTGCCAGGTCATCAGTTCAAGACCACCAGCCACTCCTTGGGAGAAAGTTGGGGCTTTCTACTCCTGTAAACTGTTACAGTCTCTGAAACACACAAGGGCAGTTCTACTCTCCCCAATAGGGCTGCTATGAGTCAGCATAGACTCAATGGCAATGAATTGTTTTTTTAACACAAACCAAAATAAAACCAAACTCACTGCTATCGAATTAATTCTGATTCATAGCAACCTTATAGGACAGGGTAGAACTGTCCCTGGGGCGGGGGGTGTTCCCAGACTGTACCTCTTTACGGGAGCAGAAAGCCCCATCTTTCTCTTGTGTAGTGACTGGTAGTTTCAAACTGCTGGCGTTGTCGTTGGTAGCCCAACGCGTAACCCATTACACCACCAGGCCTAGATCATAGTAAGTCCTCAAGACATCATCGCACGCCCTGAGTGGAGCAAACTGTGAAGTGCTGGACTTCTAAGGAAAAGGTCAGGAGGAGGTTTGAACCCGCCCAGAGGCTTCTCAGGAGGAACACATGCCAATGGGCCTCTGACAGGTTGTGGCCTTGGACCCTGTAGAATGCAGTTCTCAACCCATCCACGGGCTCCCAGGAGTCAGAATTGACTCATCAACTGGTTTGCTGTTTGGTTTGTTCTATATGGTCTTATGGACAGGTAGAATTGATGGCTCCCCATTTGAGTCATGGGGAAGCCCCCAAGTCAAGACTATCTACCCCAGGGATATGGCCTAGTCTCCCCACCAGCTAGCAAGATCTGCAAACTCCCCAGCCCTTGACTCTTGGTCCACTTCGGTGCCAGCTTCCTGCATGGACGCAACCTTTTTGGAATTCTTGCTTCATGCAGTGTTGACATGATGGCAGGAGGAGGAAAGGCCTCCAGCGCTCTCCCTGACCCTCATGAGACCGGGGAGGAGGGGCCACGATGACTTTCAGAGAAGGGACGGGGATCCTAGGAGCACGCATGCACGGAGGGGCAGGGGTGGTAAGAGGGGAGTTCCAGGCAGAGAGAACAGGAGGGCCAAGGAGGAGAGATGGCAAGAGGTGAGTCCGCACCCGGACAGACTCTTCTCTCAACCTCGTGTGGCAGTGCTGGGGGCTTGGAGCCAGGACAAGGGGCAGAGGGACAGATGCACCAGGGTGTCCAGGGCCCACGCCGTGCAGGATCGGGCCTTCCTCCTCCCAGGAACTAGGAGCAGCATACATCAGAGGACCCGCCTCAAACAGGCTGCAGCCAGCGCTCTCCGTGTCCTTAGAGGGGGTGAGGTTGTGGGCTGGCATTTCCTCCTCACACATTGGCACTCTGGGTCATGAGCCAAAAGGATGGGCAAGAGGCACCACGCCACAGCTAATTAGAGTGGCAGGAGACCTCGGGAGCTTCCATGCTGAAACTCCCGCAGGCCCAGGCTCTCCTAAGCCTGGCTCGCTGCCCAGGTCCCCTGGGCACAGGAGCATCTAGCAGGAGGATGTAGACAGCAGGGGTCCAGAGTCCTCTCTTTTGTTTTAGCCTGCAGCTTTCCACCCCAGGCTCACTGCCAATAGCCCTGCCTGCCCCTGCTCACCTGCCCTGCCTTTCCTACCTGCTAGTCAGGCTGCCATCCCTGCAAGCCCTCCTCTGCTCCCGCCTCGGTGCCCCCACGTGACCAAAGGGGACCAGCAGGCAGGATTGGACTCAGAGCCTGCCACCTGTGAGGACCCAGAAGCCACATAGGACTGGCCCGAGCGATGCCCACCAGGAGTCAAAAGTGTCCTGACTCCCAGGGCCAGCAGGTTCTGACTGGCATGGGTGCTTCCCTCTCTCTGGGACTCTGCTCTCTTTGAGTCTGGGATGGCTTTTGAGGGGTCCCTCATCGATGCTGTCCTCTGGTGGGTCACGGGGTCTGCTATTGAGTGTGTGGCTGAAGTCCCCACAGCACTGAGAAGGTCATATGAGAGGATGGGGCAATGTCCAGCCAATGGGGTCCGTTCTCCCAAAGGGCCTCCGGGGGCAGGGATGCAGGACTCCGGGTTCTGGGCTGGGGCGGCTCCCTTCTGGGAAAGCGGCGTTACTGGAGAGTGAGAGGAGGATGTAGGGGTGCGGACAGCACCTCATAACCCTGTCAAGAGGAGGTGATACCAACATGACTACAAGGTCAGAGGTGGGGGTGGCATCAGGGTGGGTAGGTGCTGTACCAAGGCAGTGGCACCTCTCAGCTCGGTGTCGCTGGTCACCTAGAGAGGTAACTCGTCAACCCTGCCCCCACGGCCACCTCCAGAGAGTGGGCAGGTGGAGCACAGCACCTGCCACTGGGAAAGACTAAGAGACTTTCCACTTTGGCCCATGGGAGCTTTGAGGCAGGCCTGGGAGGGGGAACAGGGCCAAACCAGGCCACCCACCCACCGGGGAAGAGGTTTTCTGGATCGTCCCGCCCACAGTGGGGTGACATCATGAGTTCCTATACTGGGTAACACTGCCAGGTCCCAGATGCATCAGCAACAGGAACCCAGCGTCAGATCTAGAGGGAGCCCCTCTCCCTGACTTCCTGTCCAGAGTGGGACCCCTGCAGCTCTTGCTTGCATCAAGCTTGTCTCTCACCAAGCTTCGAACATAGCTTATCATTTCCAGCCTTTGTCCTCACCGGCCCTTCTGCTGAGGATCCCTCGAGGTGTAGTAAAGTTACATGTTGCACTGTGAGCCTCAAGGTTGGCAGTTCAAAGCCACCAGCCCCTACCAGGGAGAACGACAGGGGTCTACCCTCCCCACAGGCGCACTGTGAGCGCACATCGACTGGGTGGTAGGGAGTTTGGCTGGGTTTGGGCTCCTGCTTGGAGGGCCCTTTCTCTCCACCTCCTATTATGAAACTCCTACACAACCTTCAGCGCCTCTACTCCGATACAGCGCCGCCTCCTCTATTAGCCTCCCCAGTTCCCCTGCCTCCCTGGCATTTGATGTGATTGCTTCTTGCCTGCCCAACCTGCCAGGTACTCTTGTCTGCCCCACCTGTTTTCCTGCATGGAACACAGGAAAATCGAGCCTGGCAGAAAGCCCTTCCTGAAAGAAGGGAACTCGATGCAGGCTCAAAGCGGCAGGACAGGAGAACTGCCCCTGGGGGTTACTGAGACCGGAACTCTTTATGGGAATAGAAAGTCCTGTCTTTCTCCCATGAAGCTGCTGCTGGTGGTTTCGAACTACTGGACTGACGGCTACCTGCTTAATTCAAAACCAGTCTTTTAGGAGCAGCTTCATAAGTGGAAGTTTTCTTCCCAAGTGCCTGAGAAGGGGGCCAGATGGGGTAGAAGGAGTGGGGGAGGGGGTATGAAAAGGTGGGGAGGGTCAAAATAAACCCCACTGCCATTCAGTGATCTGTCTCTTAGTGACCCTCTAGGACAAAGGAGAACTGCCACTGTGGGTTTCCGAGGCTGTAACTCTTTCTGGAGACAGACTGCTGTCATCTTTCTCACTCTGAGCGACTGAGGGGTTTGAACTGCTGGCCTTATGGTTAGCAGCCCAACGCCTCACCCACGGTGCCACCAGGGCGCCTTTGAGGTTGAAAATAAGAAGCTGGTAATAATATTACATTTAACATATTGAATAGCATCTCCTTCTAGAAGGCAGGTCCCAGAGAGGAAGGGACCTGCCTGCCAGGATTCAAAGCAACAGACTGGGCACCAGACCTCTCGCCCTGGGGAGACAGGTGGGAAGTGGAGGGAAGGGAGCAGAGAGGTGAATGAGTTCCCCCGGCTGGGGCTTGATTTATGACCCGGGCGGAGTGGGAAGGCACTGGGGTGGGTGCCAGCGCGGAGCCCCACAGAGTGACAGGCCCAGGACCCTGGCAGCTTGAGGCAGAGAGGCACCTGTGTCAGGCGCTGCCAGAGGACACTGGCGCCTGGCCTGGCCCGGCTAGCGCTGGGAGAGGGCGAATGTCTGAGCATTGGGAGCTGCCCTCCCCGGGGGGTCACCAGTCACCCATCACGCACCCCTTTCTTTCTAACTCCTCAGGGCAGAGTGGCTCCCGCCTCCCTGAAGCCCTCCGCGGAAGCAGCTGCCAGCAAATAGGCTCTGAGAGCTGTGATAGCCCAAGCTTCAGACGCTGCCAGCCTTAAACGCCCCCTTCCCACCTCCCCGCCGGGCACAGTCAGCTCTGCTGGGGTTCGTTCTTTGGTGACCCAGCTAGCCTCCAGCCACTCTGCCTCCAAGTCCCCGGAGCGGCATTTAAGGTCACCCTGCGGCTCACTCGCGCCTCCCCGCCGGGTCCCGAGGCAGAGAAAGGGCTCCACACCGCAAGTCATTAACAAGACGCGCAGCAGGCACCTCGGCCGGGCGCCCGTCCCGGGCCTGGAGCCAAGCGCCCAAACTTGGTCGCTTTTCCCGGTTGGAAATGGATGACCTAGCCGCTGGAGAGCTAAGCGCCTACCCAGCTGGGCCGTGCGTCTGCGACCCCCATCCCTCCCACCCTCCCGCCCACCCCCGC